AGGGCCATGCCATAGTGAATGGATTAGTAATGGTGGGCAGGGGTGTGTTTCTGAGGGCTTTTAAAGGAGAGCACATGAGAGTTTCTCTTTTTCTGCTCCACTATTTTCTGCCATGTGAGATCCCTGCATTTGGTGGTGTAAAGCCACTACCAAAGAAGACCCTCACCAGATGTGTTCCCTAGACTTTGGACTTCCCAGCCTCCAAAACTGTAAGCAATAAATTTCATTTTCTTGTAATCGCCCAGTTCCAGGTATTTTGTTATAAGCAACAGAAATGAACTAATACACATTCCCTCCCTCCCACCCCCATGCACTAGGTAATACGAAAGGAATGAGCTTACTTGTCCAGAGAGACGGGCTTACCTTGAAATCCCAAACCTCATACAAGTTCTGGCTGGTAAATTAACCACAGTGGCTTTCTCTATAGAAGTCAAAACTTATTTAATCAGAAACCCATGATAACTAAAACCTTTCAAGTGTTTTTATTGATCTTTTCTTGGTTTAATTAAGCCAACTTCCCTTATGCTCACCCAAATTAATAAATTTATGTTTCTTGGTATTGAACCTGTACTTTTGATATACAAGAATCTTTACCAAAGCATGTAATAAAATGCAAAGAAAGCTTATCCATAGAGTTTTCATGGTTGGTATCTTTGATTTCATGAGAAAATGCAATGTGAAACAAACTAAAGTACTTTCAGAAACATCTTATTTTGCCTTTGGCAATTATACAGCTACCTTGCTTCTGGTGGCAATTAGGATTTTATATATACTGAAGAAAATGATTTTTTCCCCCAGTGATCAAATTTGAAAGCTCTGTGTTCCATATGAAACAAGCAAAAGGTGGTCTGTGGTGATTAATTAGGGGTTAGGGTGTTCAGAAATACTACAAAGTAAATTACCAGGGCAGCTTTTCTGTAAGAAGCAAGTTCGTACATCTCTTGCCTCATTTGTACACACAACAAAAAAGCACTTTAAGTCAAACTGTACCCATGTTCTTCCCTTGAGAAAGATCTTTCTGCAATAGCACACAAATTTCAGGTAATACTGAAAGAACATCAAAGTCATCCTTTAACAGAAAAACAGCCAAAATACCCACCCACTCCACTATTCCCAGAGCACTTTACTTCAGAAAGATACACATGACTACAATAAGAAATTGATGTAATAAAGATCCTACTTATGTTACATTGATAGCCGAACCCAGGGAGACAGCTAATGGCACTCTAAAAATGGTCATTTTGTCAGAGCTTCAGTGTCGATTACCGATTACACACAGGAAACAGTGACATCAAAAACCTAGTAATGCACAAATTGCACCTGGCCAGGGCCTGTGTGTGAACATTTGATACACAAATATATTTCTTTTTCTTTTCTTTCTTTCTTTCTTTCTTTTTTTTTCTTACTGTGTTTTAACCCAATACTACTTTATTTCTTTGCCCAAATTGTTCCAACTCTGGCTGGTGGGAGCTTTTTCAGTTGCCTCCTGTTCTTTCACATACTCCCATCAATGGGGGATTTATTTATTTATTTATTTATTAATTAAGAATATTCACGAGATACAAAGCTAATTGTCAACCCTCCTGCCCATGATGTGGGAGCCAGATTCATACTGGGGGCATACCCATTACTAGAAATTACTTTTGTACTCCGTGTCCCCACCCAATGATCCCCCAACCTCCCTCCTTCTCCCCCTCTCCCCTCCACTCCAGTTTGTAGCCCTAGGAATGTTCCCTCCCTCTGTAACACCACGGCACTACTGTGATCTTTCTTCCCTTCCTTTCTCTCTTAGCTCCCACATATGAGTGAGCACATGTGCTATTTATCCCTTTGTGCTTTGCTTATTTCGCTCAACATAAGTTTCTCCAGGTTCATCCATGTTGTTGCAAATAGGAGTATTTCATTCTTTTTTATGGTAGAGTAGTATTCCATAGTGTAATATACCACAGTTTCCTTATCCAATCATCCATTGATGGGCATTTAGGTTGGTTCCATGTATTGGCTATTGTAAACAGAGCTGCAATGAACGTGAGAGTGCATGTATCCCTTTGACATGATGATTTACTTTCATTTGGGTATATACCCAGAAGTGGGATTGCTGGATCACATGGAAGATCTATCTGTAGTTGTTTGAGAAACCTTCAAATTGTTTTCCATAGTGGTTGTACTAATTTACAGTCCCACCAACAGTGCAGGAGTGTTCCCTTCTCTCCACACCCTCACTAGCATTTGTTATTCACCGTCTTTTTGATCATAGCCAGTCTAACTGGAGTGAGGTGATATCTCAATGTGGTTTTAATTTGCATTTCCCTGATGACTAGTGATGTTGAGCATTTTTTCATCTATCTGTTGGCCATTTGTATGTCTTCCTTTGAAAAATGTCTATTCAGCTCCTTTGCCCATTTTTTAATTGGGTCATTTGTTTTTTTACTCTATAATTGATTCACTTCTATATACATTCTGGATAATGATTCCTTGTCAGATGCATATCACCATACACTACAATCAACTCAAAATGGATTAAAGACTTAAGTATAAGACTTGAAACTGTAAAATTACTAAGAGAAAATATAGGCGAAACACTTCAGCAATTAGGTCAGGGCACAGGCTTTATGAACATGAGCCTGAAAGCACAAGCAGCAAAAGAAAAAAAATAAACAAATGGGACTATATCAAACTAAAAAGTTTCTGCACAGCAAAGGAAACAATCAACAGAGTGAAAAGACAACCTACAGAGAGGGAGAAAATTTTTGTCAACTATGCACACAAATATATTTGGTTCATTTGATTAAAACTCCTGGTATCATCAGTCAGCAGAGAGAATTAGAACTATTCAGCTCTTTATTATTATTATTATTATTTAATTCAACATCTAAAAATCTATTCCCATGTGTGTATAAGGGATAAGGCAAATGATTAAAATTCATAAGAGGTTTTGTACAACCTGGCAGAGATACAGAAAGAATGCTGGTCTTAGAGTCAGAGAATAGCTAATGACAATAGCTAGCATTTAATTAATGCTTCTGATGGTGCCTGGTCCTGTGCTGGGTGCTCTGTGCACATTAATCTATTTCATCCTTCCAACAACCCTAGAGTGTTTGTGCTGTTGTCATCCCCATCTTACAGATGAGGAAGAGAGAGGTGTTTAGAGACTGGGTCAATGTCACAGCTGGTAGATGGCAACACCAGCATCCACCTCCAGAGCCCAAGCCCTTCTCCATTACACCACATTGTCAAAATGTGCTGGACTCCATTCCCCATATTTTACTAACCAGTGGTGGGTCCTTCAACAAATCATTTTCCATCTACTGGCCTCTGCGTTTTCATACAGAAATGATGTAGTTGGACTAGATCGGTGGTTTGCAACCTTGGCTGCAAATTAGGATCACTTGGAATGCTTTTATAAGGCAATTTGTTTAGTATTAACTGTATGCCAAGCATCTCATTTGTGTCTGTCAATAGTACTCTGAGATCTCATTGAGGAAATGAGGAACACTCAGTCTCACAGAGGAAAAATTGGGGCTCAAGAACTTTGGTAACTTGCCTCAATTATAAACTTCATAGGCTTTAATTCAGACACACGAGCCAATTATAGAGTCAGGGTTCAGGCATTTCTGACTGCTGCTCCTAGGCTTTGAGTCCTGGGATGAATTAGTCTCACTGTTTAGGGACTTGGGACAGTTCTCCCTGTCTCCAAACTTGTCCCCTTCTAATCTAGCTTCCCCATTGTTTCCTTTTTTTTTTTTTTTTTGACAATAGCATGTGTCTTTATTTAATGGCAGGGACAAACATGGATAAAGTATTTTGTTAATGCATTTCACATTAATACCATTCCTTAAGGTCTTTAGAACATGGATAGAATGGGACAAAAATCGCTGAGTTCCCTGTAGGTACTTTTTTATTAGAAAACAAATTAACTGTTTTCACATAGACCACAGAAGAAAATTAACTAACTTATCTTGCAATTCTAGAAAAGACCATTAAACTCCACGATAAGGGATTTTTAAGTTTTCAAAGTGTGGGGGGATAAAAAGAGTCATACAGGACAGTGTTTCTCAAATTTGGCTCCTTTCACAGACATACTCATGGGGGAACGGGCTGCAAGTTTTCTACGATAATGCCTTACATTGTTTTAATTCTGCTGGTAATATAAATCGAATTAATATACACTTGTTCAGGATTGCCTGGATGGCAATCTTAAGAGTGTTGCTACATGATCATGGCATCTGCACTTGTGCCTCTGATCCACTGGCACCAAATAAAGACCAATTATGCTTAACTTTTCATGCAGTTTCTCAGATTGGGTCCTCATACCCTTCAGGGAATTATTGAACATTTTGTATGAGTTCTGTCAGGTGGCAAGGTCGAGAATGCTGATTCAGAGCAGTGATTCTCAAGGTGGGATAAGTCGGGGTGGGGAGATGTGTGTGGTCTGAGAAAAAAAAATTCAAAATACCCATTGATTTTATAATACAAATTTCATAAAGTCAAGCTCAGCAAAATAACGTCAGGTGATGGACAGTAGCAAAAAGCCAGCTATACGAGGGTAGTTCAAAAAGTTTGTGGAAAATAGAATTGGAAGATAAGAATCTTTCCATGAACTTTTTGAAGTACCCTCACAGAATCATCCCCAGGGGGCACCTGGATAAACATGGTTGAGAAACACTGGCTTAGAGGTAGAGGCATGCTGGCACGTGGAGAACAGTAAGGAAGAAACATGCCAGAGAGGAAGAACCTCTTTTGGGTCAGTGAGTAAATCCTAAGCCAGAACTTGTCATGGTCTTCTGGAACCCAAAGGGCCAATCCAGGAAAAAACCAAAATGGTCCATCAACCTTTTTGGCCCAATAGTTAAGGGCAAGTTGATCCACTTTGTAATACTGAGCCAAAAGAAGAAAAAAGCTGTTTTTGCCCAAAATTCCATCCACCAGGAAGTGCTGTCATCATTTGCAACGCCATCCTGCTCACAAGGGGGGACATCAGCTTGGGGCCAACTCTGTGATTACCACAGAGCTCCAATCTGCTTTAGCCACGTCACCAGTTCCCCACTCTGTTGCATAGTTATTAGATCACTGCACCCACCTATGCAATTTTTACCAATAAAGACTCGAGGCCCCATTCTTGCTTCTGTGAGCTGTTGCAAATAATCTTGAATCTCATTTGTGTCGTCAGTGGCTGTGATATCGACAAATTCCAGAGCTCCTTGTTTGAAGGGCAACTGACTGAGGATCTCTTGGGTCTTTCTACAGCAGGGGCAGGTGGGCTTGATGAACACGACCACCTTCCCCAGCCGGATTTTGCTGTTCACAAACTCGTGAGCCATGCTGACAGGCTGTAGTCTCCCCGGGAGGAATCCTCAATTCGCCTCCCCATTGTTTCCTAAACACTCTTTCTACAATGTACATCTTATTCCCACCTTGAAATCTGACATCGTGTCTTCAGAGCTTGCTGGATATTTTGACCTCCTCACTACAGAGCATGAGGCCTTTCATGATCTGGTTAGTTTTCTAGCCTCATTTCCTGCCAGTGCCTTCCTTGTCCTCCCCCCACCCCCCCTTTGTTTGGGCAAATTGTGGCAATTTCTGACTTCTGTGTCTTCACATATGTTGCTGTTTCTTCCCAGAATGTCCTTTTCTCTCCCCCCCCCCCCCCAGCTTAATTCCTACTCTTAAACTCAGCTCAAGCACCTCCACTTTCTTGAAGTCTCCTCTGGCCATGATGGGGACTGTGTTAGGCCACCCTTACTTGTTCTCCCAGCACTCAGGGCCCTTCCTTAAGGTAGCTGGTTTCAAGGTCACTGTCTTCAGAGCATTTTCTAGCCCTCCAATGTATAATTGACCCATTTGCCTGAATTGGACTGGAGAGGGAGTGGACTGGAGAGCTTAAACTCAGCTCAAGCACCTCCACTTTCTTGAAGTCTCCTCTGGCCATGATGGGGACTGTGTTAGGCCACCCTTACTTGTTCTCCCAGCACTCAGGGCCCTTCCTTAAGGTAGCTGGTTTCAAGGTCACTGTCTTCAGAGCATTTTCTAGCCCTCCAATGTATAATTGACCCATTTGCCTGAATTGGACTGGAGAGGGAGTGGACTGGAGAGGGAGTGGGACCAGGAGGTCACTCAGGGCTCACCACCTCTGCCTGCTGTGCTCTGGTCCAAGCCCCATCATTTCATCCCTACATTACCGTAATCACCTCCTGACTACTCCCTCTGCTGCTTCTGTCCTACAGGCTCTTCTCAACACACAGATCACAGTGATCCTTTTAAATATGAGTTAGATCATGCGACTCCACTGCTTAAATCCCTGCGATGACTCCCATCTCATGCCCAGTAGAATCCAAGGGCTAACAAGGGCCTATAAGGCTGGACAGCAGCACTTCTCAAACTTTAAGTGTGTACGAATCTCCTGGGGATCTTGTGAAAATGCAGACTATGACCCGGTGGGTCTGGGGAGGGGCCAGAGAGTCTACATCTCTAACCAGTCCGCAGGTGTGGCTGATGCTGCTGGTCCTCAGCCCGCACTGTGAGTAGTGAGGCACGCCATGACCTGGGAGCCCATTACCTCTTTGATCTCTGTCCTGTTCTCCTTGCTCCCTCCACTCGAGTCATACTGAACTCGCTGCTGTTCAAAGAACACACCAGAAAGCTTCCCTTGCCTTAAGGATTGTGCACTAGGTATTTTCGCTTGGAATGCTCTTACCCCAGATATCCACTTTGCTAACTCTCTCACTTTCTTCATGCCTTTGCTCAAATCTCACCTTTTCAGTGAGGTCCACACTGACCACCTAATTTAATATCCCAACTTGCCCGCTGCTGTCCCCAACCCTGGGTCCCACACTCCTGAAACTCTTTATCTCGCTCTTCTCTTCTTTTTTTGTCCATAGCTCTAAAGACTTCTAAACATACTTTATAAACTTACTTATTATATTCATTATTTTGTTATCTAGCTCTTCCCCAATTCCAGAAAGCCCGTTCCTGGAGGAGCCCCCTCTTTGTGTGTTGTGTTTACTGTTGTTCCCCAGGAGTCTAGAACATTTGCCAACAAATACCATTTGAATTTTGAATTTGAATGTGGCGGGTGAGTTAGATAATGTGGCACAACTGTGTGTATTCCATTAAGTATATTTGCTCTACCCCCTGAATACATTTTGCTTGGTGCTTGGCATATAGATGTGAGGCATTGCCTTGCCCATTCCAAAGGCTTTTTTTGGTCAAAATGCAACAAGGTACCTCGTGCTTGAGACTTTTCGTTTCCCTTTCTTTATCTCCAGATGACTCAAATTAGAATGTTATTTTCTTCTAATAAACTTGCCATTATCTTCAGAGATAAATTTCAGGAGGGAAATAAAAAATAGTATTTGTAATTACTGCCTTCCATTTACCTATGACTCAGGTGGATAAATGCTGCTTCTGTACTTCATTGTCTTCAAATTTAGTAAAGCAATCAGGTATGTCTTTTATGATGGCAGAAGTTGATTTCTTTTTAATCCTACCAGTCACTTAATCCTCCTTCTCCCTTCACTTTTCTCAATCCTCCTACATTACTAAGCTTTAACCAGGCATTTTCTTGGCTGACACTGTATTCAGTAATTTTATATAACTAAGAAGGAGGGCCTAACTGTGTGTAGAGGTATCAGCTGTCAGCTGGAAAAGTGGCTTTCCACGGAAGAAAATTGAGGTTTATTTTTCAGTGAACTCAAAGTACCACAATATACTACTACTATATTGATTATTGATGGCTCAAAGCCCATGACAATCACACGAGGATCAATGTTTAGATCCAGTGTTTCTATCTGTCTTAAAATCCAGGAAGAGATTTCTGTCTCTTGCCTAGCAGTGAGGCAAGCATCAGCTCAGCCTACCTTCAGGTTGGCAATGTAAGCAATCCGTAGCTTGACCTTGCATTCACACTGTGGTTGCACATGCTCTGCATTACAGCTTCAATCGTATCAGCAAACACTGTATGAATGCTGGCCAAGTTATGTCAAATATGGCTAGGAAAACTTTAAATATAAAATAAATGTTTATGTAAAGGTACTAAAAACATGTTAAGCAAATTAAATGAACAATGATGGTTGAAAATTAATTTCTAAAAGGACACAAAGGTAGATGAGAAGGTAAAAAAATTACCTTTATAAATGTGCTTAAAATTTATGCAATTATCCAGAAATTATAAAAACAGGCACTGGATATTGTAAATATTAATTCTGATGCTAATTTGCTTTTAGACAATTCATTTAGAGCTAGAGACAAAAGTTAACAATTTATTAAAGCATTTGCGAACCACCATAGCAGGAATAAGAGGATGAGAATAAATGAAAACATGAAAGTAGTGTGTGTGTGAAGACTCAAAGTTCTGGAAAGGAAATGGATAAACACACTTTAAAATACTTAAAGATTGCAAGCCTACCCCATGCTATAATCTCTGTAAGGGGAGACATCATATCTATTTCATTCAACTTTCTATTTCCATTCTATAAATATTTCTTTCATTATTTAGTGGTGTATCAAATTATTAACGCCTAAAAAAAAAAAAAAAAAAGCCTGGATTGTTCCATTTAATTTTTAAATCAATTTGTTGCTTTGACTAATTGTGCTCAACCTAAACAGTTTCAACCAATTTAGTTTCTACCAATTAACCTGGAACCATGCTAGGAAAGGCACTATCATAAGTAAAAAGGACTGTGAGATACATACAATTCCTAGCTTCATTTTTGGGGGTAATTTATTTGAGGAGAAAATGTGTGAAAAAATTCCTTAAGATTTAAATAATAGGTCAAGACAACAATAGGGAGATCTATTATAAGGCTTTTTTTGATTAATTGTCAAATCAGTTGTAGACTTCTATTTCTTATAATGTGGTGTATTAGGTAATATTAATCATCCCAATACAATAAACCAAGTAAAACATAATACATATCCTTTTTTATATAAGCTGAGATAAGGAGAAACAAAGGGAATTTTCTCCAAAAACCAAAAGTGAGAGGAAAACTAAAAAGCACAATTGTAAGGTTGGAGTTGAATCTCTTGCTGCTCAGCATTGGGGAATGGTAGGTTTGGCTAGTCTCTGAAACCAAGAGGATAAGGTTTTAAGTGCTAAATGGGGACAAGCATCTATACTTCTGGCCAGAGCAAAGCTGGAAAGGTATGGCTGCATAAAGCCACAACCTTGAAGGGCTATGTCACAGTGAAAGGGTGGAACAGAAGTGAAATCTATCCACTGCCAGGGAGACATGTACTCTGTTCTCCAGGTCCCCCAACTGAAAAATTGGGACCTTAGTTCTGCTTCCAGTTGAATTTGTGGTTCAAATACAAACTCCCTTTATGGTCAAGTAACTCCCAACCAAGAAATGAACATAAAAAACGGTCCCACCAAGTGATTTCCCCAGTAGAAGCAAATTCCAAACTTGTCTACAAAGTCTCACCCTCAACCCAGGCCACAAGGGTTCATGCAGATAAGGCCCTACTAAACCTGAGCTCACCGTTAAAAAAAAAAGCATAAGAATATAAGAATAAGAATATACACTCCACCATAAGCAAGAGGCAGCTAATACAACCAACAGTTGGATGAGACCCTCAAGTCCTTCAGATAATGAGATTATCAAATATGCACTATGAAATGTGACTAAACATATTTTAAAAAGAGGAAAAACATGATAAACTATCAAGATATTACCGAAAAAGACCAGGCTGGCTTGAAAATAAACCAATTGACTTGCCTTGGAAATACAAACTCAGTGGATAGACAGAGCTGAAGAGTGAATTAGTGAAATGGAAGATAGAGCTGAAGAATTTATCCAGAATGCAACACATTCTGGGAATGTAGGAGCAATCACTTCAGATTGGCACAATCAGAGAATGCATTGTGAAGGAGGTGATATTTTAGCTGAATCTTTAAAGGCTATGTAAGAACAGGTAAAAAAAGGTATTTCAGAGGAGTGGCATGGCATGGCATGAGACAAATTTCAGAGGCTAAACTCAAGGCTTGTTTAGGTCACAGTGAGTTGAACACTTTGGCTGAAATGGAGAGTTTATGTAGAGAAGCAGAGAGAGAGAGAAGGTTGGTGATGAAGGTTAGGGCCTATGCTTAAAACCACATGAAATGCTGTAATAATGACATAAAATTAATTTGTTGAAAAACAAAGCAGACATATAGTATCTACTATGCTGACATTGTGGTCCTTTTGACATGCACCACTCCAGCTTGACTGGCCTCACTACACTAGACATGTGCTGTCCACTGCCTACTTAAAATGGAGTGGTCACTCCCCTATCACCTTCCCTCTATTGACACAGAGGTACATTTCAAAAGCTTTCAGGTTAGGTCCGGCCTGTGGCTCACTCGGGAGAGTGTGGTGCT